TGACAACAATGGAGCTATTGCTCAGGCTAGAGAGCCACGAGAACATCAGAAGGTCAAACATGTCAAGAGGCGATTTCACATGATTCGAGAATGGAAGACATAGGGTGAAATCAGAATTTGCAAAGTGGGAACGAATGACAATGTAGCCGATCCACTTACTAAACCCTTGTCTCAAGTGAAGCACAACAAACACATTGAGGCAATGGGAATTAAGCATGTCGCGAACTGGCTTTGATTTCCATATTATAGTGTTTTAATTAAATTTTGGACAATGTTAATGTAAAGCACTATGATGAACCATTCAGTTTTTGGAGTAATTAAAATTTTTCATGCAATTTAATTCTCTTCGTCTCTATTTAATTGTGGTTTAGAATTAAATAATGAGTCCATTGATTTTAATAAATATTCAAAATAGGGTATCAAGTCAATGGCTTGGATAAAGAAACACCTATTAAGTTAACATTGAATATTTTAATTGAAAATTATCCCTAATCAAGGTCATATTTTTTTTGGACGATTAATGACCATTAGTGATTAGTGTGTAGTATGATTTATAGCACCGTTTCTTGTGCTATGAGAATATAAATCATTTGCACAGTTATTGGTTTAGAACCATACTGGATCGGCCTATGAGAATACTTTAAGAGATTTAAAAATCGTCATAAGTATTTTTCTCATTATTACTACTGGAACTCTTTTCCTTGACCATGAGTAGTGGGTGGAGGCCGCTTCCGATCAGTAATATTAATATAATTAATATTACAATTTAATCTTGACTGAACCCTTCAGGTGACACCCAAGCAAAATATACGAACCGGCTCGACGAATTAATTCGGAAGAAATTAATTCGTCGCCCGAGTGTTAAATATTTAGACGTCGGTAATTTGAGCTTGGAGCGTCGAAACCGAACGTCGGATGTCGAGTCAAAAATAATAAAAAGACGAGACGCGCAAAATAATAATAAATTGACCATATTCCCAAAATACCCCTAGCATCGGAGTGCCCCGAGCATCTGAATGGTAGGGGCAAAAAATGTCAAAGCATAGGTTGCTAGCAAGCGCATCAAGCCGAGCCTAGCATGGCTGGCTAGGTGCGTGCTAGCGCACCGTGCTAGCAGCCACGCACAACAGCAGCTAGCAGCCGCGTGCACGTAGTGCGTGCAACAGCTAGCTGCCTCAAGCTAGGCGTGCTAGCAGCGCACGCACTAGCAGCCACGCACAGTTGCAAGCCCGCACCAAGTGCGTGGCTTGCGCACACAGCAGCAGCCCGAATCTTGGTGCGGGGTTGGGCTCGTGGCTGGGCCATAGGGCCAGTCACTATGGGGAAGCTTGAGGAATATGGGAGCAAGTGGGTAAGGACATGTGGCACTAGGAGAGTATTGAGTGGGGAGCAAGTATGGTCCCCTACTCTCCATGTGGTCCTCACCAACCCATTTCACATGGTAATGCCACTTGTAGATTTATTATTAGTTTGCAATTTTAATTTAATTTAGCTTTAAATTAATTTGTGGAATTTCATGATCCCACATTGATGGGATAGAAATTTACACTCATACTTTCCTCTATAAATACTAACCTTGGAATTTGGAGTAAAGTGCTTGAGTGGGAGTTAGAAAGAGCATTCAATATTTTGGGAAAAACTCTTAAACTCCATTAACACTTAGGTATTGGTCAGACCTTGCTAACTCCAAGGTAGCGGACCTAAAAAGTCGTGTTCGTCTTTTGTGGGTGGATACCGTTGGAGGCACGACATTTGCGGTGCTCAAGGCTTTCAAGTAAGAGCCCGTTTTGAGAGGGCGAAGCTCGCTTCAAGGGTATGATTCATTCTTCCTTTTTCTTGTGTTTATTTATTTATGCTTTATGGTTTTATTAATTACGAGTGGTTCCTTGGGTCGAAGTTGTTTCCGCGGTGAGTCGGACTCACCAACCCCCAACAACATAGATGTCTCTTTGCCCTTTTTTATCAAGACCAAATAATTGTCATAAATTTATGGTTTCATAAATTACTGTATATACAATATTGTGAAAAACTTCAACATTCAAACTATTATTAGTAGATTAAACAAACAAATGGAATATCAATTTATGCTTTACTCACATCATAGAAATTACAATTTGGGTTTCTCTTAGAATTTTGAATATGTGTTCAAAACATTACTATGCTAACATTTTCAATATTTAGGAAAAAAAAGTCTTTAAAACTATACCATTCAACTAAAGCTTCTACTTTGTTGCCTTGGGGGTCCTTCAGAATGAAAGTTGTCATGGTTGATTCAATTGAAAATCCTGTTATTTGTAAAATGTCAATACTCATAACGTGATTCAGATATTTTACATGTGTTTATTATTTGAAAATTTTAATATGATCTAAGTTGTTATCTTACCTTGTCGAGTAATAGGTCGTAGAGTTGTGATACCAATTACTTTGAAAGATTCACTACTTGAGACAATTGATTCAGACTGTTCTCCAGCAAGGTCATTCCAAGTGCATACTTTCATTGGCTGATCAGTACTGAAATTAGAGGTTTTTTAATATTCACTTTGTGTTAGTATAATATGAAATGAAATGAATGCAAAGATATTAGTCAGCCTTTAACAGCAATTACCTGTGATCTATCACCATAAGATCTCGAACTGATGTCTCTTTGTTAGATGATGTCACTATTCTCCTTGGTTCTTTTGATACATAAAGAACTAACACAAGTATATCTGAAACACCAAAAAAAAATCACAATAAATACTAACATTTTGTATTATGCCACTTTGATGTATTTGACAAATTATATGGTTGTATATGTAATTCATATAATATGTTTACCATGTCTATCATCATCAATAGGGATGCTTGGAATAGAAGCAAGTGTTTGATATCTGGGGTAAATTGATTCTCCTTTAGGTTCCAAAGATCGGATAACAGTCTTGCTTCCTAATGACAAATGAAATGGAATGCCATCTTCTTTAGCCCTCCATTGTGCATCCAAGTTCCTTACTACAACATCAGCAATCTCATAGTTTCCTCTGAAACTAATAACATCCCAGTATGCCAGAATCTGGTCACCAAAAAGTGTCATCTTCATCTGGTTATTCTGTAACAAGCAAGAATTTGTTAATTTTTTAAGTGCTTTCATCAATTTGTGCGAATTGAATGTTGAGTTTCAAAATGTATGTAGAATTAAATCGATATACCTTGTCATCTTCGAAAAACATACACTGATATCGTGTATTTTTTTCTGATGTTTGTGGACGACCCTTCTCTGCAACCCTTACTTTGACCTTGAAATTTTTTGTAGTTGTATCGATTTCATCTAGGACTTTCCGTTGTGGCGCCATGAAGATGTTCTCTGTTTGATGATTTTGAAATAACTAAATATTATGATCAAAGAAAACTTGTTTAAATGCTACAAACCTGTCTCATACTGCATGCCTTAAGTAAAAGAGTTTTTGTTCAAGTTTATGCATGCAAAATGTTTAAAATATAAATAGTACCAGTCTATTGTTTTAATTGTACAAAATATCTAATCTATATGATTTTAAAATCAGTTTGCATGTTTTTACCTAAATTTTTTTTAAAAAAAATCAGAGATAATTATGCATGCATCATGTACAAATTCAGAATACACTTCTAATCCTGTAAGTATTTTTTTTTATTTTTTTTAAATGTATAAGTAACACATTGCATGTATGAAATGGATGTTTTTCAAATTTTAATTAGCAATTGCTATGCATGCAGAATGTTAGAAATGAAAAATAACATCAGTCTTATGCTCCTACTGTACAACATCTAATATGTATGATTCATTAATCAGTTTGCATGCCTTAAACCGATGTTCAAAATACATAAATGAAAGATGATTGTGCATGCATCTGTAAATACTTAAAATACACTTTTTATTATGAAAATTCCCTAAAATTATTTAAGCTTGTTATGATTTTAAAGTAAAAAGTTTCATACTGCATACTTAAAACAGATGATTCTCAGATTATGCATGCAGAATGTTAGAAATGAAAAATAACATCAGTCTTCTGCTCCTACTGTACAACATCTAATGTGTATGATTTATAAATCAGTTTTCATGCCTTAAATTGATGTTCAAAACACATAAATGAAAGACAATTGTGCATGCATTTGTAGATACTCAAAATACACTTTTTATTATGAGAATTCCCTAAAATTATCTAAGCTTGTTATGATTTTAAAGTTGAAAGTTTCATACTGCATGCTTGAAACAGATGATTCTCAGACTTAAATTGGTAATTTTTAGCATGCACAATTTATATAACAGAGACAATTTAAAAGCCATAAACTAAGAAATAACAACACATGCATATCTATCTAAATCTATGAAGTGATAACAAAATTTATGTTAACACGAAAGGATTGATCATACCTATGAAGTAGTTGATGACTGATTACTGTTTGCTAAACCTAGTATAGCTTAACCAATCGTTTATGTATTTGAATTTTATTTTATGTATAGCATAAGTTTAGAATTAGTTGGTTTTTTAGAGAATACGAATGATGCTAAACATTGCTTATATAGTGAAAAAATAGATGGGAAAAGAATGCATGCAAAAGTTGATGACAAAAATTTCTACCCCCTTCCAAAAGAGATTGCATGCATGAACTATCTCAGCATGTAATATTGTTCTTGTCTCCTCCTTTTTCTCCTTTTTTTTTCCTTTTTTTTCCTCTGATAATAAAAATAAGATTAATATATCTAATTTTCCACTATTTACATTTACATTTTTGTGGCCTTTCTCCTGACTTTAAAATCTATATTTTGAACTACAAATATGGTTCATGTACATGAATTATTTAGATTAAATTCCTAGTTGTTCCATCACTGCAAACACATAGGAAAACAAATAAAAGTTATTAAAAAATAAAAATAAGCTTACTCATTGTAATGGTGTAGAAATTATTGGTTTTAAGAAAATATACACACTCTCAAAACCAATATGAATGAAAAAGAATGATGATAACTTACTTCTTTTTCCACTCTAAATGATTCCTGCCAAACCAAGAATATCATAAGATACTATATTCTTCACTTCTGTCGCCTTCCGTTGCTTAGTGCTAGCTTCAGTTATTACACTGACATTAGCTGATTTACAAGTTGGAGAAAGTGCAACATATAATTGTCCATGTGAAAAACAGGATCGCGGTAAAAAAGCCACAACTTGACTAAGTGTTTGTCCTTGAGCTTTATTGATTGTCATTGCAAAACTAAGTTTCAAAGGAAACTGTTTTCTCTGAAACTGAAAAAGGTAGCCTTCTGAATCTGATGGACGTAATGATATTCTTGGAATCAACACGTGCTGACCTTTATTATGTCCAACAACAATAACACACTCAATGAGATTACGGAAAAACTGCTTGCATATGAGTCTTATTCCATTACACAAAACAGATGCTGACAGAAGGTTTCTTAACAGAATAACAAGACTATTAACTTTCAGCTCAAGCTCATGAGGACTCATACCACCAGGGCAAAGTTTGTTTAGAAATTCAGTAGGATATACGGCACAATATTCATCAATCATAGTGTCATAACTTTTATACACTACTAATTCACCCGAGAATTTGTAAATCAAACTTGATTTTATGGCATCAACATCCTCATTCATCAGTGTCAAAATAACTCTTGTAGTAAAAATGTCTTAACTAAATGGAAACATATCCATTTCTGGAAATGCTACAGCTTTTAGATGTACATCATCAGTTATTCCAGTACATAAAGGCTTAATAATATCTGATGGTAGCTCAACAAATGCCTCCTCCGTTTTTTGCAATTCACCATTTCCTAGTGCCAACAGAAAAGCTGCATATGCATGATCATATTTAGCCCTTAAGTTTTCAGTAATGTAGAAACCCGTTTGTGTCTCCCCAAAACCAAACCTGGTGATGAGTACATTTCGCGTCGAATCATAATCGAATGAAGCAAAAGTGTGGAAAGTTCAGTGTTGCGGATAGTTTTAATTTCTTTTCTCTTCTCTCTGTTTTTGAAGACTTATGTTAAGAAAACAGCCAATCCAATTTGGTTGGTTCATGATATGGGTCCAATAGTAGTGTAGTTGGATGGGGCTTGAAAAGGGCTTTCCAGCGATATAATATAAGCCCAATTCCGATGAATATTGAGGAAGTTATGGCCAATTTACTGAAATGGGTCCGGTTGAAGCCTTATATGCGGCTCAATGATCTAGGGGAGGGCCTAATATAGATTTATCATTCCTAATGAAATTAGGAATGGTTTTTGTCTTCTAGATTCTTGAAGAAGGTTCTTTTCATTCCTAATTCAATTAGCATTGATAAATTGACTTTTGTTGACTTTTCAGAGTTTTAATTAGAATCAATGAACATATTTTGAGAAAAATACGATTTTATCCTCCTGTATGGCAATTTTTATCTGATTTAAGAAAACGCGTGGATTTCTGAGTCAGCGCCAAATGCCAGCCGTAGCGCCTAACGCTACGATTGGCGCCTGACGCTAGACTTGGCGCTAGGCGCCATTCTTAGCGTATGGCGCTAAGGTCAGCGTCTGGCGCCAACTCATTTTTTTGCGTCAGGACTCTGTTTTGATATTTATCTTATTGGCTGATTTTCTTTATAAATAACGTCGTAAAAACTCCGTTTTTAATCATCCACATTCATCAACATTCATCCACAATCACCTACAATCACGAATATTTACCATCTCTCTCTCTCTCTCTCTCTTTTTTCTAAACTAGATTTCTCAAATACAAAATTCCGCATTCATTAGATCTAAATACACTTAGCCATATTCGAAGTTGCCTTCGCCCTAGACGTGAAAGGTTTAATTTCTGAGGGTTTGGTCCCAAATCTCTCTTTCAATTATTTAATTTAATTGTTTTGTTTAATTATTGTTTTCCTTGAAGTTACTAACGCGTGTATTTTGTTATTAGAAAGAGGTACTAGGCATCAAAGTAAGTATTTTTATGGTTTTATTAATGTTATTATGATTCCTAGTATCATGTCTAGGGTAACTTTAATATTAAGTATGATTAAAAGTATGATGCTTCCTATGTTCTTCCTAATATTTATGATCGTTAGTATCATGCTAGGGCTATATATTTGATTTTTATTGTTTAGTGATGTTTCGGGGTTTTCTGATGTCCTGCGGGAGAGTTACAATTCCGAGACTGGAACCGGACGCCTGTACCTGCAAAATAACGGAGACTCCTGAGAGCTCCGCCTCCAACGGTCAAGTTAGTACCTGATTAAGGAGTAATTAATACGGAAATTAAAGTAATAAGATCTCTCTAGGTGAGAGTGTTTAATGTTGGTAATCTGCTTTGTTAGCGAGATTAGCCAGTTATTAGTGTCTTCCGTAACGTTTCTGTTCTGTTCCGTTCTTCAGGTGAGATTAATTGCTTGATCCTCTTTAATGAGGATTAATTAAGTATTTATAGTCTTGAGAAGCGTGCCACTCTCTAGGTTTAGGGTAAACCTAGGGCTGACCGGGCCTCTAGACGGGATTGGGCCTTGTTGGCCGGTTTTCCCATTTGGCATGGGTGGACACGTGGCGTGTCTCAATTGGTCCGTAGAGGACGTATCTGTGATTGACACGTGGCAGGCTCCTATTGGCCTACGTGAAGGACACGTGGCGGAACCTGGTTGGTCCACTTGTCAAACGGTGATTGGTGGATAAAAATCCCCTAATCATTTGCCCCTCACAGGTGGAACGTGACTGGTCACGTGTCGCCTGTGACAGGTGTCGCACGGTGACAGGCGACGGCCTGCTACAGGTGTCACCTTGCAAATGACTGAGAGATTTTCCCGCCCAAATTTTGAATTTGGAAGCGACCCTTCGCCTTCTCACTTTGCCTATATAAGGAAGTGCTGACTTCGGTCATTTTCACATTTGAGAACTTTGCGAGAACATTCGGACCCCTGAACTTGCTCTGACATTTCGGACCTTTTCTGCCTACCGCCTGTTCTGACAAGCCGACTGCACCGGATTTCCAGAACTTCATCAACCGTCACTCGTTCAGGTAACTCAGTTCTCTTACTCTTAATTTTCTTTTTGTTTTTTGAAATGGCACCACGGAAGCACACGACACGACCTAAGTTAGTGATCAGCCGGTCACCGGGGACGGCTGAATCTAGGACTAGGAGTGCCGCCTTCCCTTTTCTGGACCCATCTTTTCCCTTTATACAAAGTCCGACTGTATCTGTGTCTATGCAGAACGTGATGGCCAGAACAAAAAAGACTGCTATGATCTCAAACTCGGACGGCTCCTCCCAAAGGGTGCTCATTAGTGAAACATCTGACCAGGCGCCAGATGTAGAAGTGAAGCGAGGCGGCTGCCAAGCCGACAGTTCTGAGAGAGGGGTCAAGGTGGTCCCTTCCCATTTGACCGTTGATATGTCTAATTTTCCTCCTGCTCCTTCTAAGGGAGAGGAGGCGGGCCCCTCTGGGAGAGGGGAGGAGTCGTCCTCTTCGGACTCGTCAGAGGACGAGTCCGAGTCCAGCTCTTCTGGCCACGCTTCTCCAGGCTCAGAAGAAAGAAACAGCCGCCTACAAGAGGCGAGGCTTTCTCATGCAGTTGAGAAGGGGGACAATTGGGCGGAGCCGTCCGCCTTTTACAGAGAGGAAAACACCCCTTACTACTGCACGGTACCCCGGGGCCGGATCGCAACCATGCAAGACAAAGTGGAGAGCTTTATAGCTAACCACAGAATGGGCCCCGAATTTTTACTGTTCGTGCCAGATCCAAAAGACACTGTCGTCTGGCCGGCTGGTACCAGCTATGATGACGGCTGCTTTGGCTGCTATGTGGCGGCCATCAAAGCTGGACTGCGCTTCCCATTACATCCGGCTGTTCAGCGGATTTTAGATGGGTATGATTTGGGGTTATGGCAGTTAGCCCCCAACTCTTGGGTAAACGTACTCGGCTATGTGGCCGGGTGCGAAATGTACGGGGTGGAGCCAAGCTTTGAGGTTTTCGCCCACATGAACTATCTCAGCCGGACCCCTAAGTCGGGAGGTACCGGCTGGTATCAATTAACAAGCCATAGGGGTTACGTCATGACGAGAGGTAAGGCGAACAAATGGAAGGATTGGCGGAACACCTTCCTTATCATCGAGGGTTCAGACACGGAGCTGAACCAACGCTTTAACAAGTGGAATAGGGATCTGCCTCTTCTCGCAGGCGGCCGCAGCATGCCGCCTGTTCCCCCAAAGGCTAAAAAAGAGATCCTAGACAAAGGACTCTTCAAAGTAGAGACTAGGGTGAACTCTACTTCAGGGGTACGAGAGCAAGTACCCCTGAACTGCGTCCCGAGCTTCAAGTGGCTCTATGACGAGTACTTTTTGGCCGCCTGTGGCCTCAGCAGTCGGTGCTCTAGAGGTAGCCGGCCTGTCAAATACTCTGTTTTTTCACGCTTTTTTTACTTGGGATCTTTACTAACTTTGCTGTTTATTTTTTGCAGCTGACGCCATGAGTAAAATAACAGCATCCAAGACTGCGGCGGCCATGTTGCGGGCCTCTCTCATGCAACAGTCTTGTACCGACTCCCCCAACAAGGGGGCACCCTTGGTAGGCTTCGAAAACTCTTCCTCTTTTAGGAGTTGTCTTATGAGTTGTCTTATGCATATACTAACTCTTTTTATTTTCAGTCGGGCACTCCAAGAGCTTCTTCCTCGCAACAGCCGGACCCCAAGGCCCGGAGGACGACTGTTGCAAGCTCTCCTGGGTCTTCCAGGAAAACCGTGGCGGCTGAGAAGCAGCCGGCCACTTCTTCTAAAACCCCGGCGGGGCCGCCTAGAAGTATGGACAATTACTTGTAAAAACTTTCACACTTGCTTCCTTCTTGACTAGGTCTAACTTGCTTTTTTACGCTTGATGCAGCCGGCCCTCAGGGGCTTGACTTGGTTGAGGTAGCCAAGTCCATGATCAAAGTAGTTCCTCCATCTGAAAGGGAGGCGGTCAGGGGTGCCGGCACCCTTGACCTTGATGGGATTGCAGGGGTCCTTGCTGAGGTATACTTTTTGAGTATTTGAATTCCAAGACGCCTGTTATCTTTTTTGTTTGGAAACTGGCGCCTGTTTTCTTTTTGTACTTAGGCCCTGCTCCGAGTTAACAGCCTTCGCAAGCCGCTTGATCGGAAAAACAAAGAGGTAAAGGCTGCAAAAGCTATGGCCGCCTCCAACTGTGATAAGGCAATGTTTCAAATTGCCCAAAATGAAGTACTGACCATTGATATTCTTTATTATCAGGCGCAGGCTACCGCCGCTGTTCCGGCTCAGTTAGAGGCGGCCCAGAAGAAGAATGACGAGCTGGAGGCGACCATCACAAATCTTAAGGCCGAGCTGAAACCTCTTCGCCAAAAAATGTACTCTTACGAAGCCATGGAGAAATCCTTGGCCAACGTAAAAGAACGCCTGGTGAGCCAAGAGAAGAGTCTTACCCAAGAGCTCTCGGAAAAGGCCGAGCAAGAGAAGAAAGAGCTCGTCCGGGAGATGATGGAAGACTCCGCTCAAATCTAGCGCATGACCTGGGGCCGCCTGTTCCCCAATGTCGACTTTGCCTCTTGGGAAAGAACGTACCGCCAGTGTTCGGAAACATATAATCAAGAGATCCTGGCGGCTGCTGAAGAAGAGGCG